GACGAATAAACCGTAGGCCCCGTCTCCTGCAGGGTTAGGGGTAGGAGACGTTAATTTCCCACGCACGAGATTACTGTGTGGTGGATGTCCTCCCCTGGGTGGGACGGGTGGGTATTGGCCCTGAAAAGCCCCTATGGGGAGTGGTCAATTAACCTATGTATGTATTATCGCACAGTGTTATAATCGTACAGAGAAAATGATACCTTGGCAGGTTTTTGTTTTTGTCCTGATGCAAATAATTACGGCATACACAGTTACACATAGAATGTGGAATAAATTATATGCAACTGTTTATTTGATTACTAAAATGAGAAGATTAATCAAGAATGTTAATTCTTTAAGTTATTTATGTCTGTGACGGAATGTTTTACAGCTAACAGTTTCAATCAGCTTTACTACATGTATAGTAGTGTATTTCAAAGAAAACTGGAATGAAAAGTCCCTGGCTCGACACTAACTTTTCAACTTACTAGCCAAGTGGCTGGTGACATCTTAGATGCCACGACAATTTCAGTTGTTTACCAGCCAAACTGGCTAATGGTAACCGAAAAACCACTCACCAAAACTGAATTTCTACTGGTCTGTGGAGTGGGCTACCGTTTGTGTCGAGCCCTGAAGTTAACAAGTGGTTGGGGTATTGCCATCATTTCATCAGTATGGCACCCTCTGTATTGAAGGAGTCAAGTAAAAAAACAGTCCTAAGTGTTCTCTAGAACATTCACAATACTGTCAATAATGACAAATGTTTTCAGATTCAGATTCTTACTTGATGACACTACAAAAGTATGTTTGTCCCTCTTTAGTCAAAAATTGACCAATTAATCGCTGAGTACTTTTTCTAGTTCTTATTGCCACATTAATACCATTTGGGGAGTAATAAGTACTTTATGGTTAGCTCCACTTGTATCTTCATGGCGATATTGTGCACATCTTGGCGAATGAATACGAGTAAGAACTTGAAGTTCATGAGCTCGCCGAGTGATGTTTAGAATGTCCAGACATTTGAACTGTAGAGCCACTGACAAAACGTATTGGGATGAAATCCCCCTCTCCAAAGGAAACAATGCAAGGTACATCACCTGAAACAGGAAAATTAACAGAATTACTAATCTTTTGCATGCTAGAAAAAGGAGCCAGTTTAGATTGGTTCTTAATTGGTTAAGGAACGAAGAGATTGAGAAAGACGTTTTTTGTCTTGACACGAGTGTAGGAAAAGAAAAAAAAATTCTAAGGGAATAAAGTGATAGACCTTCAGATTCCGTCCTCCGTTGCTCTACCAGTGAGTAACAAAGAACTTGATGTTGAGATAGGCTGTTACTTGGTTTATGTGTGCACGCGTCTCGCATACTGCTTGGATTGGCTCTGTTGAAAGTATCATGTGCTTAAAAAAAAATCTCAGAGACCCAGAATTTCCTTATCATATGAACAAAAAAGTTGTCCTGATTTTTCAACAGTTTACACAATGCAACCTTTGTCTCGTCACCTCGTAAGGATATCCATGTAGCAAATGTATCCCTCTATTCTATTGCCACGTAATGAGATCCCTTACGAATACATATCCTAACAAGCGAAGCATTAAAGGCCTCCTTTATGGTCCGAAGTTTCAGTCGCCCTTTGTCAAGCAGGAAATTCTCCTGTTCCACCGCACCAGTTAGTTCGTCAGTCCAAACCACGCAAACGAATTCTGTTCAGAAACAAAATTGGACCAGTCTCAAAATTTCA